GGTTAGGGGGATGCATTGCTGCCCCGACTTGCTCCCAAAGCCATGAAGACCCCCCTAAGGTTCCCGGGTCTTGCATCTTCAGCCCAGAGCGAACCCCTCCATGTCTGGGCTCCACCCCTCCCCCTTTCTTGTCCCTGCCTGACCCCCAAGACCTCGGGGCCCCAAATCCAATCCGTCCTCAATTCGGGAGCAAATCTCAACTGCGACCCCAGAGGCTCCCCAGGTCAAGGCCCCGCCCCCTCTCCTTCACGACCTGCAGGGTTCCCCTAATTCCACCCCTCAGACAACCCTCCCTAACCCCCCCTCCTAGGCCGGCGCCCCTCCAGGCCCAGAGGATCCAGAGGCGCCTCCGCCTCATCTAGACCTCCTCCCCCCAGACCCCCTTATCCCTAGACGCTCCCCGACCCTGGCCGCCTTTCCTGAACGCGGGCCCTTCTCAACCCCCGCTCCTTGGGGCTCTTCCCGGACCTCCGAGGCCCAGGTGCCTTCCCCACAGACGCTTATCCCAGGCCCCCGCCTCGAAATCGCTGGCCCCTACCCATTCTTCCCCGCTCGCGGGGCCCAGAGCTCCTCCCCAACCCCAAGACTCGGGCTCCGGGTTCCAGCCGCCGCTCGCGGCTCGGGCGCCCGCCCCCCAGCACACCGTGTACGTGTCCACGAGCTCGGAGCCCACGACGCGCGCCTCCTNGTTCGCTGCGGGGGCGGGCAGGCGGCCTGGCACCTTCCTGGCCCCCCGAAGCGAGTCATTATTCCTCCCGGCTTCAGTGTCCCCCTCTGGGAAAGGAAACTTGGGCGCCCTGGCCTCCCGAGCCTCTCCTTGGGCGCAGCTACTCTCACCCGGCTCTTGGGCTCATTCCCTGTAGGGCGCCGGGGGTTTGCAGAAGGTAGGAGCCCTTGCTCGGAGCCAAAACAGAAGAACTCTGGACAAGTTGTTAACCTCTTCAAGACTCGATAGCCTCTGTCACATGGGCTGCTGGAGAATTGAGTGGGTTAATTCAAGCAGTGCCCCGGCTTGCAAGGCAGGGAGCCGGTGTGGTTACCTACAGGGAACGCAGTATGGGGCCGGGAGGGGGGTGAAGATGGAAGGAAGGCATAGGTGCTGGCCACTGGGCACAAGACTCCCAAATGGTGTCCTACCGGAGCTTGAAAGGAGGGGGCGACAGACTGGCCCGGGACCCAGGATCTACAGTGCTGCAATGGGACGCACGGGCACAGACGCAGACCTAGAAGGAGGTGGTAACCCCGCTGGAGGAGACGGAAGGGGAGAGCCTGGCATAGATGTGTTTGTTGGATGACTGACTGCAGCTGACCCAAGCCCAGAGCTAGTACTGCTCAGATGAGATGAGAGGTCTGGGGTGTGGCTCCTTGGGTACCCCTGGCTCAAGGGCTCTAGACTACTCTGGCCTAAAGTGGGTCAGTGACTTCACCACCAGTTCCACAGCACTGTACCAGATCTGAGCTTAGTATTAGGGGCTTCTCTTAGCGAGGCCCTATACTCCCAAGCCTCTCCTCGCATACAGCTACCCCCTACTGCAGAGAAGTTAAGTTGAGCCAGGGGCTGCCAAGTCAGCCAGACTTAAGGCAAATCACCACCCTTCCAGGAGCCTCAGTTTCCTTATCTGGAAAGTGGGAGTAATATCATCCACCTCCATAACTGGATGGGAGATTGAGGTGCTGCGTGTAGGGGCCTGCACTGGGCCCCACTGCTTTGGAGTTCCCATCCTATGTCCTAGGCTTATGTTTTCATTCATTCAAGAAAACTTTCCAGAGAGTCCCCTTGGGAGCAAAGGGGAGGAGACCTTCATCATCTTGTTCTGGACAGAGGACACAGGGACTCAGGCCAGCCTGAGATCACCAGGGCCAGGGGAGGGGGTGGAGGATGCTACACGCAGGGGTGGGCTGGGCCAGGAATGCAGCTGGGCAGGGCTATTTAAGCCCGGGGCCTCCAGGCAACCCCAGCAGCCCGCCCTCTTGAGCCGACAGCATGGATGACATCTACAAGGCTGCGGTGAGGGACNGTTCGCTGCGGGGGCGGGCAGGCGGCCTGGCACCTTCCTGGCCCCCCGAAGCGAGTCATTATTCCTCCCGGCTTCAGTGTCCCCCTCTGGGAAAGGAAACTTGGGCGCCCTGGCCTCCCGAGCCTCTCCTTGGGCGCAGCTACTCTCACCCGGCTCTTGGGCTCATTCCCTGTAGGGCGCCGGGGGTTTGCAGAAGGTAGGAGCCCTTGCTCGGAGCCAAAACAGAAGAACTCTGGACAAGTTGTTAACCTCTTCAAGACTCGATAGCCTCTGTCACATGGGCTGCTGGAGAATTGAGTGGGTTAATTCAAGCAGTGCCCCGGCTTGCAAGGCAGGGAGCCGGTGTGGTTACCTACAGGGAACGCAGTATGGGGCCGGGAGGGGGGTGAAGATGGAAGGAAGGCATAGGTGCTGGCCACTGGGCACAAGACTCCCAAATGGTGTCCTACCGGAGCTTGAAAGGAGGGGGCGACAGACTGGCCCGGGACCCAGGATCTACAGTGCTGCAATGGGACGCACGGGCACAGACGCAGACCTAGAAGGAGGTGGTAACCCCGCTGGAGGAGACGGAAGGGGAGAGCCTGGCATAGATGTGTTTGTTGGATGACTGACTGCAGCTGACCCAAGCCCAGAGCTAGTACTGCTCAGATGAGATGAGAGGTCTGGGGTGTGGCTCCTTGGGTACCCCTGGCTCAAGGGCTCTAGACTACTCTGGCCTAAAGTGGGTCATTGACTTCACCACCAGTTCCACAGCACTGTACCAGATCTGAGCTTAGTATTAGGGGCTTCTCTTAGCGAGGCCCTATACTCCCAAGCCTCTCCTCGCATACAGCTACCCCCTACTGCAGAGAAGTTAAGTTGAGCCAGGGGCTGCCAAGTCAGCCAGACTTAAGGCAAATCACCACCCTTCCAGGAGCCTCAGTTTCCTTATCTGGAAAGTGGGAGTAATATCATCCACCTCCATAACTGGATGGGAGATTGAGGTGCTGCGTGTAGGGGCCTGCACTGGGCCCCACTGCTTTGGAGTTCCCATCCTATGTCCTAGGCTTATGTTTTCATTCATTCAAGAAAACTTTCCAGAGAGTCCCCTTGGGAGCAAAGGGGAGGAGACCTTCATCATCTTGTTCTGGACAGAGGACACAGGGACTCAGGCCAGCCTGAGATCACCAGGGCCAGGGGAGGGGGTGGAGGATGCTACACGCAGGGGTGGGCTGGGCCAGGAATGCAGCTGGGCAGGGCTATTTAAGCCCGGGGCCTCCAGGCAACCCCAGCAGCCCGCCCTCTTGAGCCGACAGCATGGATGACATCTACAAGGCTGCGGTGAGGGACTGGGGTGGGTGGGCCCACTGGGGAGACACTCAACTCAGGGTGGGGGACAAGGTTACCCCAGGGGAGGGGCGGGGACCCAGGAGAGGAGCTATATACTTTCAGCCCAGACCCTCAAGGGGATGGTTGGGTCTGGTGTTCTAGGGTGCAGAAGGGGCGAGGGATTCAGGGGTTGGAGGGGAGCTGTCAGAGTGGGTGGGGGAGGAGGGTGCACCTTTCAGCATCACGTCTGCCTCTGTCTCCAAGTGTCTGTAGTCTGTGTCACTGTCTCTTGGACATGTCTCGGCAGTTGTGTCTTTGGTCTTTGGATCTTTGCCTTTCCCAGTGTCTTTCCACCTTTTTGTTCTGAGCTGTCTCTGAGTCTGTCACTGGGTCCCTGTCTCCACACCCATTTCTGCCCCTTGAATTCTGCTTCTCACATTCTCATAACACCCCAGCCCTCTGCAGCCCCTAAGCTGGCTGGCTGAAGATGCTGTGGAGGGGGTGACAGGGCTTGTGAGGAGGGGGTTGCAGAGCCAAATCCTGAGCTGGGGAAGGGGCTTTGAAGTTTGAGACAGGCAGGGAAGGACTGAGCATGGGTGAGAGCTGGGAAGAAGGAACAGAGGCCGACGCCAACATCTGGCCTGGCTTAGCTGGGGGTTCGGGCTGGAGAGTGGTCACCCCAAGTCCCTAAAACTGTCTGTGGTCACTGAGGGGCTTTAGATGCTATTCCATCTCCGGGGGGGGGGTAGTTTGCTGAACTCCCCATGCCCCAGAGATAAGGACATCTGACACAGACAACTGTCTCCAAAGGAATCCCTTTCTCAGCCCCTGGATTGTGGCCCCACTGCTGGGCAGGGAAGGGCTACAGCTGGCTCTGGGGGTGCCCCTGCCTGTCCTGCAGGAGTCCATGGAGCTGGGGGGAGCATCCTTCTGCCTGTGCCCATACAAGGCCTGGCGGAGCTGGGGACTAATTTTGGTTCCTGAGACACCAGCAGGCCAGGGGGCCAGATAACGCTGCCCCACCCCCTGCATGCCAGAGTCCCCAGAACAATCACCAGGTTTAACTTTGTCCCTCGTTAAAAATAGACCACTGGCCACCCTGGTCAGGTTACAGTGAGTGGCTTTACCTACCCCCACACTAGTTTTATTGTCCTAACCTGAGGGACAGCTGTCCCTTGGGCCACCCAGCTTGGGTTTCAGAAGGGAGGCTGATAGGGCATTGAGTGGTCACTGACTGTTGTTACTCAGGGTCACCTTGGTCCTGGAGGGGGTGCCCACCTGTCACCCTGGCCCTGAGCCCAGTCTCAGTGAGGCCAGCTGGGTCACCGAAGGGCTTTGGGGGCAGGTAGGGAGGACTGAGGCCTCTGCTCTGTGACCTGGAAATGGCTTGCCTCTTCCTGGCTTTAGTTGTCCACCTGTGGAATAGGTTGGTTTCCTCAACAGCAGCTGTGACCCTTGATCTCTGACCCTGAGTCCTGAAACCTCTTTTCCTCTCTAGGTAGAGCAGCTGACAGAAGAGCAGAAAAATGGTGAGTTCCCCAGCATACATCTAGGGGGGCAATAGGGCTGACTTGGGGAGCATGAGGACCCCAGACTGGAGCCCAGAGGCTGGGGTCTCTCTTGCTGTGACCTTAGAGGTCTCAGAAGGAAATGGGTGGGTTGGCAGGTGGCCCCAGGGATTTGGCCTTCTGGGTTCTTGCTGCTGAGCCCTGGCCACTCTGCTCCCCCTCCCCATTGGACACAGAGTTCAAAGCAGCCTTTGACATCTTCGTGCTGGGCGCTGAGGATGGCTGCATCAGTACCAAGGAACTGGGCAAGGTGATGAGAATGCTGGGCCAGAATCCCACACCTGAGGAGCTGCAGGAGATGATTGATGAGGTGGATGAAGATGGTAAGCCCCTCTGCCCCGCCGGGCCCCAGACCCGCAGCCCCGCCGGGCCCCAGACCCGCAGCACCCCCAGGTCGCTGGGGATCCGAATCCTGGCTCTGCTGCTTATCGCTCTATGCCCCTGAAAGAGCCGTTTCGTCTCTCTGAGCCTTGCTTGTCTCATATATAAAATGGGTATAATGACCACCTTGCCTCATGGAGTTGGTGGGTGGGTGCATGAGAACACCTGGGTCTAGGGTCAAGGGCCGTACCAGCCGTTCTGACCATCCCTCTCTAACGGCCATGCCTTCCATCCCCCCAGGAAGTGGCACAGTGGACTTCGAGGAGTTCCTGGTCATGATGGTTCGGTGCATGAAGGACGACAGTAAAGGGAAGTCTGAGGAGGAGCTGTCTGACCTCTTTCGCATGTTTGACAAGTGAGTGTGTGACCCTTGATCTCTGACCCTAGCTTGGCCTTATGACTTGCAGGCCTTAGGCTCCCGTTCTGTGCACTGAGGGAGTGGGATGCCTCATCTTCCAGTGGCCCTGCCCTGCCAGCCTCCCTGGGTCGTGGGTGGGGATGCCTCTTCCTCTCCTTGGCCCCCGCCATAGGCTCTGAGACCTCCCTTGCCCCCACTCCCTCCAGAAACGCTGATGGCTACATTGACCTGGACGAGCTGAAGGTGATGCTTCAGGCTACTGGTGAGACCATCACGGAGGACGACATCGAGGAGCTCATGAAGGATGGCGACAAGAACAACGATGGCCGCATCGACTATGACGGTGAGAGGTGGTGTGCTGCATGTCCCGCTGCCCATCTTCCGCCGGCCCCCACCTCTGACCCACACCTGCCTTTCTCTCCACAGAATTCCTGGAGTTCATGAAGGGGGTGGAGTAGATGCCGATCTTCGCCCAGAGCTGCGTGTGCCACCTTCCAACTTCACCTGGGCCCTGGGGTGGGGCAGGGGGCCAGGGTCCCCAGGATGTGATCCTGGGTGCATCCTTGACCGAGGGCCCTCCCTGACTCCCTCCCTGACTCCCTCCCCAGCCCTGTCATAGGGAATGCAAATAAAGCCCTGCTTCCTGGAGGCCTGGTATCTGGCTTTCCTTCCCGGAGGGGCTGTGGACATTTCACCAGCCAGTGTTTACTCCTTCCATGGGGACCACTTCCTCCCCTGTCCCAGAGCCTGTGCTCTAAACACCCCTGCACACTGCCTTCCGTAGGAGGGTTAGGTTAGATCAGAGACGACCATGCTCCACACCCCACTGCCTCCTTTCTATAACTGCTGATGCCCAGGCCCCATTTCCAGCCATTCATCACCTGGAGTTTGTGATGGCCCAGGAATCTATTTCAAAAGCTCTTGGGGGCCATGACTTTGGTCAACTAGGGGGTCCTGTACCTGGAGGGAGGAATAACTAACTGCAGCACCCAGCTAAGCCCTGGATGCCCCTTGGCACAGCAGCCCAAGCTCCATCTCAGCTCTGGTTGGGGAGAAGTACACTGTGGGGCCCAGTGGGCCTGCAGCTCTAGTCCATCTGCCACTCACTTGGATTTCTCTCTGGCAACACTGACTCCCAGGGTCCAAGGGGTATATCGTCTATTCTACCTGCCTTTACCCATGTGACAGGTGAGGACCCTGGAGCCCAGAGAGGCACAGGGACCTATAAAGGTCACCCAGTGAGTCTGAGGGAGAGCAGAGCCACATGGCTCCCAGTGAGGGCTCTGGCTGATGGACCAGGTCTGTGTGGGAATAATTTCCAGTTCTCTCGAAACTCAGAGGCTCCAGCAACCCACTTCCCCTCCATAACTGAATGGAGGCTCAAGGCCTGGTGGCTCTCAACTTAGTGAGGGTATCCAGGCGAGAGCTGCAGCCAGAAGAGTGACATTGATCCTAGGGAGGGGGTGCTGCAAGGAAGTGGAGGTGTGAGCTGTCATGCTTGCAGGAAGGACAGCTGCCATGGTGTCTAGGCTCCAGCCAGAATGTCAGCAGCTGTCCTTGCTCCACCCAGCTACTCCACAGCCTCCCCACCTGTGCCCCAGCCTTGGCATTCCCCAGACAGGCCCAGCATTCCAGAGACAGTCTTGGAATTCTGGAGATGCCTCCAGTGGAGGCCAGAACTGGCAGGAGACCCTAGAGAGACCTGGGGGGAGAGGGCCTGCCCTTGGGAGCTGGAGAACTCAAGGACCTACACGTGCACCTAGGAATGATGACATCTCAGGAGAGGAGGCAGGGCTACAGTGGGCAGCACCAGCAACCAGTGCACCATTTCGTGGTTTAGTCATCCCTATCATGTGCCTGGCACTGGTTAGATGCTGGGACCCTTCAGAGAGAGGCCCAGTTCCTAATTTTGTGGAATTTACAGACACCTCAGGAAAACAAAGGGAGATGTACAGTGGGGACACCAGCACAATGCCGGAATGAGGTTTGTAGAGGTGTGGTGGCAGTGGGGTAGAGTGGTCCCAGAAGGCTTCCTGGAGGAGGTGGCACTGAGCTGAGGCCTGAGGAACCATGGAGAACCAGTCATGGGAAGCCATGGGGAAAGAGACTGGAGCATCTCAGGAGCAGAAAGGCAGTGTTGGGCTGGGCACCACGCCTCAGCAGTCTTAGGGTGAGAAGGCCCCGTGGCTCTCAGCACAGCAGGGTGAGAAGCGGGAAGAGAGGTGCACAGATTCAGGGCATGTTTTGGAATTAGGACTGAAATGTGAGGTGTGAGAAAGGGAGTCAAGGATGACCTTTCATATCAGGGATGAAGCTGCTGTTTCCTGAGATATGGAAGCCTGGGGGAGGCACAGGTTCTTGGTGGTGGGGTATTAGAAAGTGGAGGTTCCTTTTTATCTTTGGATTTTTTTTTACAATTTTTAACTTTTCATTTTGAAATTTCAGACTTGCAAAAATAATACAAAGAACTCCCATTTGCACTGCACCCAGCTTCCCCAAATGTTACCATCTTAAATAGCCACACGACAGTGAGCAAGCCCAGGCCACTACTCACTCGTCGGCTGACCTCACTCACACTTGTCCGTTGCCCTCCTAAAGCCCTCTTCCTGGACCAGGATCCAAGCCAGAATCACAAGCTGTGTGTTGTCATCCTGTCCACGCAATCTCCTCCAATCTGCTACAGTTTCTCAGTCTTTCCTTCTCTTTCATGACCCTGACATTTGAAGCGTAAAGGCCAGTTATTTTGTAGAATCTCACACAGTTTGGATTTCTCTGGGGTTTCCTCAGGACTACTCAGGTTACGCATTTCTGGCAGGACGATCACAGGGGAGGTGGAGAGTCTTTGGTCCACGTCAAAGTTGAGTTGCCTCTGGAACAGGATGGTGGGGATGTCAAAGCCACTCTGGAGATAAGTGAGAGGACAGAGGGAGAGCTATAAACTCAGGTGTCATCTGAGTAAGTAGCGCTTTCCCAGCCCTAGTCCTGGATGAGACCCCAGGGAGAGGGTGTGTAGAGAGAGGTGGCCCAGGACTGTGCAGGGGGCATCCCACATGGGCAGTCAGGGGGAGGAGACATGGATGACGAGGTGGGAGAGACCCTGGGTGAGTGAGGTACCTCACGAGCCAGGAGGGAAGGAAGGAAGCATGGGAGAGCTTCCTTAGGGGACTTGGAGGCCCCCGAGGCCTTGGCCACCTGGACATAAGGGTTTCATTGGGGCAGTGAGATGGGAACTTGGCTGGAGAGGACCAAAGGAGTGAGTGAGCAAGCTAAAGGGGAGATGGAGAGTGTGGACAACACTGGTGAAGTTTTGCAAATGCTCAGGAAACTGAAAAATGGGCAGGAGCTAGGGGAGAAGTGAGTCCAGAAAGTTCATTTAAGGAGGGAATCAGGAATGGCCTGTATGCTGATGGGAACAACCCAGTGAAGCTGGGAAAACGGTGATGCAAGACGCAGGGCAGAGCTGCAGGTGAGTGGCTACAGGCCTCTGGGGGTGTTTCAAGGACCTGGGTATAGCACTGGGCCTTGATCCAAGCTGGGCAAAGAGAAAGGGGGGCTCGAGGCACTGAGGGAAGAACTGTGGCAGTGGGGATACTGAGTGCGCGAGGTGTGTCTAGAGGAAGGGATGTGTTGAATGGGGATGCAGAAGGCCACATCCTTATTGGTGGTGACTTACAGGATGGGTGGCTGAGGTGGGGAGAGGAGAAGGAAAAGGACCAGCGAGGCCAGGGTCCACCCAAGGTATGTGGGCGCTGATGGTGTTGAAGGAGGAGAAGAGGGAAACCCGCGTTAAGCCCTCTGTGAATGAAACAGGAGGATGGCGGAGCCAACTACAAAGGGTATGTGGGCAAGGGGTGCTGGCTGGTGCCTTAAAGAAGGGGTCCAGCCCTGGCTGGTGTGGTTCAGTGGTAGAGCACTGGCCTGTGCCCCAAAGGGTCACGAGTTCGATTCTGAGTCAAGGGCACATGTCTGGGTTGCAGGTTCGTTCACTCCCAGCCCCTGTCGGGGCGCATGTGGGAGGCAACCGATTGATGTCTCTCACATCGATGTTTCTCTCCCCGCCCCTTCCACTCTCTCCCAGAATCAATGGAAAAAATATATCCTCAGGTGAGGATTTAAAAAAACGGAAGGGGTCCTCAGGGAGGGAGCCCTATGGGGCTGTTTCAATATCTCCGTTCCAGAGTGAGGTTGGTGGGGGAGGGGCTGGGGGCATGCCTTCCTTCTGAGCACCCTCACCCCCAGAATTCTAGCTGGGAGAGGCTGGGTTCTGACATTCCACATACCTGCCTGGTAGCATGTGATGCATGAACACACATCACACATGTATACAGCCAAAGGCTCACAAACTGCCACCAGCGGATAACATTGAACTCTACATATATCACATAGTTCTGAATGTTTTGCTTCATTCACTCCTCTCCATTTCTTCTTCCTTTGCCTGGATAGTGCTTCCTCCATGAAGCCTCCCTTGATTTCCTCCACCAGGAGCCATCACTGGAATGTCTCTCACTGCCCCTGCCCCAAGAGGCTAGGGTTTCTCCTGGGTGGAGGGCCTGACACAGCCCGGAGCTTTGGGGCCTCCTGTCGTTCTTATTTTGTCCATTAGATGGCACAAGATGCACATTAGATGCACAAGATATCAGGGGCACCTTTGGGTCCAGTTTTCATCCACAGCTTGCAAACAGGGACCTTTACAGAAGATTTTTACCTTCTTCCCAGAGAGGGAGAGGACCTGCCTGAGGCCAAACAACAAATTAACCTTAGATTTCGGGCTCCCACCCCCTGCCCCAGGCTGTGTGGAGTGTGCTGCCCCCCACATCCTGCTCCAATAGATCCAGGCCTCCCCTGCAGCCTCAGAGGGGCTGAGCTGAGACCCCCACGTGAGCTGGCAGGCTTAAGAGTTATTGGGCCTGCTGCCCTAAGCTGGTGGCCACATGCTGGTTGAGGGGCTGTCTGGCTCAATCTCCAGCCAGCTATTGGCCCTCCTGATTACCACCTGAAACATCTCTCCAGGCAGAGGGGCTTCACCCCTCTGAGGCACCAGGATATAATCACCATCATGGCAGCCCCTGCACAAGCACCCCTCACCATTTTATACAGCCTGTTACACCCAAGGTGGCTGGTCCCTGGCCCTGGAAGGAGAAGACCTGAGACCTAGAGAGGGAAGGGCCTTGGCCAAAGTTCTCCAGTAGAGTCAGAAGCGGGAGGTCTGAGGCCTGTCACCGGCTTCCCTGAGTAGCTCCTTTTACCTAACCCCAGGTCAGAGCCCCCCTTGGGGGAGGCATGTATATGTCAGGGGGAGGTGGGGACAGGGAGACAGGGTTCAAGGCCGTTGGGTCCTTCTCATGCTGACTCAAAGGTCCGACCTGTTTACCTTCTAGAGATGAGATGGGGAGGAGAGGTGGGGTCCAAGTATCACCCCCAGGAGTCACCAAAGCACAAGAGAATCTCAGAAAGGAGCAGCGTTGTTGGGCGTTTTCAGCCTGCTGTTTGGCCTGGGCTAGGTCCTTCCCTCTCTGATGCCCTCAGGTCTCCTGACCACAGTCTGAGGGCTTGGGCTGGTCCATCTGGGAGGCCTAACTTGCAGGAGTTTTTAGAATTCAGAGAGCTCCAATTCCGGCTCAAGTTTGAAACCTTCTTTGTTTCCAGGGCCTCAGATTTTGAGTATAGGGGTCTGGGGTGGGGTGGAGTAGCAGCTGTGAGGGGACAGGGACAGGAACTGCTGTGGGATAGGAAGCATGCAGTAGTCCCCTCACTTGCCTAGATTCAGCCCCTCAGTCTTGTCTCCTCCTGTCCCTCTGTGGCTTTCTTGCCACC